GTGATGAAGTGTTCTTTGCCCACAAATTGCATAATTTTTTGGGCTCAAGGTTGGCTGTGATTACCCCAGTGAGGACCTTATGCTGGGGTATACCCTGGCCTTTATGCTGTTAAACCAATATCGCAAGCTTGGCTACACAATTTAACCTAAGATTTCACATAACCCAGATTTTATAGGCCTACTCCTATCTGGAATCCAACACAGCAAATATGAAATTTGAGCATATCACAATAGTGTTCTAAATTTAAGCATTTAAACAAAAACTACAACTTGGAAAAATGTAGTACAGTGTAGTACAACAAAGGCAAGGCAACAATTAAAGATTAAAGTCTGGAAAATTTCGAGGTCCAGTTCTTCAGTTCGCAAAATCCTCAAGTGCGTTAAGTCATTACCACCTGGTAAATCCTCATCACAAACGAAGCAACCCAACAAGCAATTCACGTAAAAAGCCCAACAATTTCTCTTAAAAAAAATTCAGTATGAGCAAAGAAATGGAATCAAAATTTTGGTCCTTAGATTCTTCAAGAACTAATTCCACAACTTCATAGACAGAGGAAGACATATATTTTCACCCAATTAAGCACAATGGAAACTATTGGAAAGGTTTTCACTCTCTTAGAAACCGCAGTAGCATGATGGCACAAAAGGACAACATTTTATTTTATTTTCTATTTCCCCTCTTTCTCACATTTTGTCAGCTACCAAACAAAGAAAATCCGTTTAAAAAATAAAAATAAAAAAAACACTTCATCGCCACTGGCCTTTACCTACAAATTGCATAATTTTTTGGCCTTATGCTGAAGAGAAACAAAGAGTATGGAAGAAAGTGGTAATAACATAGAAGAACAGAGAAGCAACTATATAAGAACCTAGAAATGATATTTTAGTTTAAAATTGAACAGTCTTGACAGTTTAAAAAAATTAAATAATTGTTAATCATGAACTGTAACACAAGTGAATAAGTAGACATTTTGACAGAAGGTAACATGTATGTATGTATGAACAAAACAAAACTTACAAGAGTTAAACTAGGGTATACCCTAGCACTTTTTATAGCTCAAAAAAAAAAAAAAAAAAAAAAAAAAAAAAAACAAACAAACAAACAAACCCTATGAAACAAATTGCTTGAAATTTTTTGCACCATAGAATTACATTAAAAACAGAGAATTTCTTTATCTTAGTAGAATTCAGTATCTTACCAACACTAGATTGGGGGCTGCCTCCCTCGGTGCCTCCATATCGACATCAAGTGGCTGTGAGTGTTGGGTATCCACATTGTCATGTAAATCCCCATTTGGAACAACAATTGCCTTGTGCGAAGGTTGAAGAGATGACTGCGCCAATCGTTTTGGTGGCATTGGTAAGCCCTAAAAAACATAATACAAAAGCATAAGCAATACATACATAAAAATGGATAAGTAAAGATATGTATATGGAAACTCATCAAGGCCACTATTGATATTTGTAATTTGATCCAGTCCACTCCTTTTCTTCCCAAGACTGGTCCTGACAAGTGGTTGCTTTGAATATTTTTAAAACGGTCAGGTAAAGGGTGTTATTCATGGAGAAAGCCATGGGTGATTTCGGAGATAACGAATATAAGCACATGCTGTGCATGGAGACTAATGCGGTGGAAAAAGCAATAACACTCAAGCCTGGTGAGGAGTGGAGAGGAAGGCAGGAACTCTTTGTTGTTCCTTCCAGTTATTGCAGTGGGCAGCTTGATCCTCAGAGAGTCCTCCAGAGCAGCTACAATGTCCATTTTCTGGTCTAAATCCAGTACAGGTACTTTGCCGACTTTATTATTATTTTTTGTTTAACCATCTCAAATATTGGTTTTTTAAATATTTATATTAATCTGTCAAATAAAATTGGGAAAAAAAGATTGCTTATGGGCCCCTTTGAGATAGCTTTTGCTTATGCATAATTGGTTTTCTTTGGATGCCATGTTCAGAAGTCTTAGTAGTTGTCAAGAGTGACTATCTGACCATTTGGTTTATGGAATGCCAAGTCATTTATCTATTTTATAGCGATATAATATTTGATTATAAATTAGATACATAAAAATTTCAACCAAATAATAATCTACTATAAAAAATGTATTTTTTGTGCTTTTAAATGTGGAAAAATGACTAGATAGGCATATGCCTCGCACACACACACATAAAAAAACAAAACAAAGAAAGCTTATCCAAATTAAAGTCCAAATCATATCTAACACAGACAATAGCAGATGTGTCAATGTTGGCATACATATGACTTGTTTGACAAAGGAAACTCATATGAAAGTGAGCTGGAACAAGCAGAGACCAGGTTGCAGACTCAACTGCAACAAAACACCAGGCCACAGCCCAAGCCACAGTGGCTGCAGCCTAGGCCACAAGCTCAGAACAGAGCAATATCAACTGCAGCCTAGACCATTTCTCACATATGTTACTTGAATGATTCATGTACAAGCCTCTAAATACACCACAAAATTATGTAAGTACTCCTAAAAATTCATTTAAATTACAGTCCCCTTAAAGTACAATTAAGCGAGTTGGTAAGTGAGTATGTTTCTAGTTCGAATCTTCTTCTATTTGCGCACTAGTTGATGGTGTGACTATTAAACCTCAAATTTATCATATGGAATGAGTCTAGATGAGTTCTCAATTTTAAAAAGAAAAGAAAACTTAGGGTAAAAGCCCTTAATCCATAAGAAATCAATTGTTTCAGTAAGCCCTTAATCCATGAGAATGAATGTTAAATCAAATTAAAATACCCTAAATCCATGAGAAAATATTAGTGTTAAATCAAATAAACCCTAATTCCATGAGAAAATACCCTAAATCCATGAGAAAGTAGATGTTTGAGTGTTAAATCGAATTAAAATGCCCTAAATCCATGAGAAAATATGTGTTAAATCAAATAAATCCTAATTCCATGAAAAAATGACATAAATCCATGAGAAAGTAGATGTTTGAGTGTTAAATCGAATTAAAATGCCCCAAATCCATGAGAAAATATGTGTTAAATCAAATAAATCCTAATTCCATGAAAAAATGACATAAATCCATGAGAAAGTAGATGTTTGAGTGTTAAATCGAATTAAAATGCCCCAAATCCATGAGAAAATATGTGTTAAATCAAATAAATCCTAATTCCATGAAAAAATGACATAAATCCATGAGAAAGTAGATGTTTGAGTGTTAAATCGAATTAAAATGCCCCAAATCCATGAGAAAATATGTGTTAAATCAAATAAATCCTAATTCCATGAAAAAATGACATAAATCCATGAGAAAGTAGATGTTTGAGTGTTAAATCGAATTAAAATGCCCCAAATCCATGAGAAAATATGTGTTAAATCAAATAAATCCTAATTCCATGAAAAAATGACATAAATCCATGAGAAAGTAGATGTTTGAGTGTTAAATCGAATTAAAATGCCCCAAATCCATGAGAAAATATGTGTTAAATCAAATAAATCCTAATTCCATGAAAAAATGACATAAATCCATGAGAAAGTAGATGTTTGAGTGTTAAATCGAATTAAAATGCCCCAAATCCATGAGAAAATATGTGTTAAATCAAATAAATCCTAATTCCATGAAAAAATGACATAAATCCATGAGAAAGTAGATGTTTGAGTGTTAAATCGAATTAAAATGCCCCAAATCCATGAGAAAATATGTGTTAAATCAAATAAATCCTAATTCCATGAAAAAATGACATAAATCCATGAGAAAGTAGATGTTTGAGTGTTAAATCGAATTAAAATGCCCTAAATCCATGAGAAAATATGTGTTAAATCAAATAAATCCTAATTCCATGAAAAAATGACATAAATCCATGAGAAAGTAGATGTTTCAATGTTAAATCAATGGGAAGTAGGTGTTTCAGTGTTAAACAATTAAGAAGTAGGTGTTTCAGAGTTTAATCAGAAGATTCTTTAGATATAGAGAAAAAAAAAATTGAAAGATTCATACCTTAAACAAACCAGATTCTTCTAAAGTACAACTATGGTGAGCCAATTGTGAATATTAAAAATGACTTACATATTCTTTGAACCACTTTGGAAATTCCTTCTGTTGTATCTAAGTTATATCTTGTCCAGTGGGAATTTGTAACAAATTCTTGTGTTCCCTACTCAAATAGTTTTGGTTAATGTGTCAAATGTTACTATTATTAATGACTAATAACATGAAAGTTGTTAAAATATAAATAATTATAAGAAACACGTACTGAAGATACTTCTCTATCTCAGGGCTATTGTATAATAAGAACCAATGAGCAATATCACGAAGTTCATGTGACATCTCAACATGCTTTCTGATTTGGCCAATAGGACGAGCAGTTTCGGTGAATATTATCAAACCTTCACGACGGACCCAATAATCTTCATTTCGTGCATCTCGATTATGCACGGTTTCAATCCCTTCAAGATACATTGAGCAAAAAGTAATGCACTCCTTGACAATGTAAGACTCTGCAATAGAACCTTCTGGTCGAGCTCGATTGGTGACAAACTTTTTCAAAGCTCCGAGAAACCTTGAAGAGATAACCAATTAGGAGAATGGTTAGGCACACAACATAATCTATACCTTTCATTTGAAAGCACAATTTTAGAAATTACCTTTCAATCGGGTATATCCACCGATATTGCACAGGTCCTCCAAGAATAGTCTCACGTGGCAAGTGAATGGCCAAATGAACCATCACATCGAAGAAGGCTGGAGGAAAGATCTTTTCAAACTTACATAGTATGAGTACTATACGTTCCTCTAATTTCTCCATTTCACTTTGTTGCAGTGTCCTTGAGCATAGATCTTGGAAGAAGCTACCTAACTCAAAAAATGCTGTACTGATCTCTTTATCTATGTAACCACGCATCCCAATAGGAAGAATCCGTTGTATAAGTACATGGAAGTCGTGGCTTTTCAATCCTATTAATTTACCATTTTTTGCATTCACTGATCTCGAAATGTTTGCTGCGTACCCATTTGGATACTTGACTGATTTCAAGAAATCAAAGAAACCCTCTCTCTCTCTGTAGGGGTCAATGAGAAGCTGGCTTGCGGCTTCACATATGATCCATCGGGATTTGTTGTTAGCCACAATTCTTTCCTTATATTCATATCTTCTAAATCCATTCGTGCCTTATCTGTATCCTTGCTCTTCCCATCAATTCCCAACATCGCTCCAAAAACATTTTCACTAAAGTTCTTCTCCACATGCATGACATCAATGTTGTGTCGAAGCCTCCTTTTCTTCCAATACGGTAGCTCATACAAGATGCTTACCTTTGTCCAATTTGGGTTCTGACGAGGCCTTTTCCTGTTGCTTGGATGTTTTCCATATGTGACACCCGTCACACTGCCCAATTGATCTTCAATCTTTTCTATCGGTATCACCAAAGATCTCTTCCTTTTTTCATGCTTGCCATTATATGCTCTACTCTTTCCCCTTTCTGGGTGGTTATCAGGCAAGTAGCATCGATGGTTACTGCACGCAGTCTTACTTCTTAAAGATTCAAAACATGGTTCATCATTGCAAGTGTAACAAGAGTAATGACCCTTTGTTCTCCAAATGCGGGCCAATCATGTATCGTCCATAACAAAGCTACACGCATGCAGAAAGTCTCACCAGTCGAGGCATCATAGGTTAATGTACCATTTTTCCATAATTCATTCAATTCTTCCACTAAAGGTCTCATGTAGACATCAATATCAATTCCTGGTTATGATTCACCAGGAATAAGTAATGACAGCATGAAAAATGGGTCCTTCATAGCCAACCACGGTGGCAAGTTGTACGGAATGAGTACGACAGGCCACAGACTATATGAGTTATTCATATTTCCGAAAGGGTTAAAACCGTCAGTAGTCAACCCTAGCCTCACATTCTAAGGCTCCAAGGCAAATTCAGGATGTTGTGTATCGAATTCCTTCCACTCATCACTATCTGCAGGATGCCTCAATACATCGTCATCTAGTCATTTTTCCTTGAACAATTTCATATTCTCAGCTCTCTTCCTTGACATGTACAACCTTTTCAATCTCGGTGTTAACGGGAAGTATCGAAGAACCTTACGAGATATCTTCTTACCTCTACCATGATTTGTCTTGTATCTAGAAGCCTTACAATTTGGACATTTATCTAGTGTTGCATTCCCCTTCCAAAAGAGCACACAATTGTTTACACAAGCATCAATGAGCTCGTATGACAAACCCAATTCACACAGTATTTTTTTAGCTTCATAAGTTGACTTTGGAACCAAATTATCCTTCGGTAAATGTTTTGTTAAAAACTTTAGCATCATGTCAACTGACTTATTACTCCAATGGTTTGTTACCTTCATATTAAGTATCTCGATGACAAATTTTAACAAAGTGTAATTTGTGCAACCTGGGTACACCTCATGTTTGGCATCATTCAATAATTTATCAAAAGTGCAAACCTCCTTCTCTTGAGTTGTATTAGTTGATTCCCCTCTTATTCGATCTTTCACTAAGGCATCAATACCTCCCAAAACCTCATTGCCCTCAACGGGTATATCATGATGATAAGCCTCATTTGATTCACGGGGTTCCCCATGCACGTGCCAGATAGTGTAAGTTGGAATAATCCCATGTTGCAACAAATGAATTTCAACAATTTGAAAATTTTGACGAACAACATTCACACACTTTCGACAAGGGCACAAAATTTTACCATCTCGATCGATAACCGCCATTGCAAAACGAAGAAATGATATTACCCCATCATTATATGCCCGACTTATCCTTCTATCAACTGTGCTACCTAATGCAATCCAACTCTTGTCCATGTCTGACTATGCCGAGTTAATTAAAGTTAGGTGAATAGGACAAATTTTATATAGAAAAATATATATATTTTTTAATTAAAAAAATTTTCAAGTCCAATGATTATATTGAGTTATATAAATTACAACCACACATAAATCACGTGAGAAAATAGCCAAAGCAATTTAGTGTAAACAGACGAAGTATTCATAACCAAAACATAAACCACAGCAAAATAACCATCAATAAGAAGACAAATATCATAATTCAGAGAAAATTTAACCAATAAAGCAGTGAGCTGAGAGTAAAAAGCAGATAACATGACACAGAAAGAAAACCCCCAATATGCCACATTGAGTTTCTAAAGCAGTCAATTTAAGTACTCAAATATCCAAATGCAAAATGATATGATTGAACTGCACGTATTTGGAAAAATATATATATGCCTCGTATACCAGAATTGACAAATCTATCAACTAAATTGGGATATTGAAAAAATAAGACATTGGGAAACAATAACTATTCTGGCTCACATTTCACTCGGTAAACAAAATGTGATTAAATTCTGCAGAGGAACTTAATAATGTACTTAAGGAGCTATGCATATAAGAAATGAACGATGTCAATAGAATTGATAGCCACATGCGACAATTCCAATGAATGCCCCGAGACTATAATTTAGTACTTAGCCTGTTACTGCAGTTAGTACTCTGCTTGATTTCTCTTTGCTCAACTATATATGAAATCCAGAGAAGTTAAAGCAAGATATGCTAATTTAAGGGTGTAATATTCCAATTTTCATTAAATTGATAGTTGTGAGAGAAAAAATAATTAATTAATATGTAATATATAATATTTTATCTTATTGATTATTTTAATATTTTTTATTTTTATTGACTATTTTAGCCAAAATCGATCATCCCAAACATATAGACTCAAACTCCCCTAAAAACTTAGAAATGCACATGAGAGAGAGGACTGGGGCCACTGTTTTGTTTGGGTAGTGTTGGATTGGAGATGATAACAGTGAATGGTTTGTAAGAAAAAGTTGAAAACCCTTGAAAGAGAAAATAATTCCTTTATGGAGCCAAGGGACTGTGAACTGTTACTCACTATTTTAGATGATTCAAAGTACACAGATTTTGGATGCAAAGCTAAGGGTCATAAGCGGCGCAAATAAATTATTTTAGCCAAATAAATAAAAATAAAGAAAAAAGATTCACACTCTACCCTATATCAGTACACGATATAATATAGTATAAAAATTATATAAATTTTATAAATATATTGACTTTTTTTTAATAAAAAAAATCAACAAAAGAAAAGTTTCTTGATGAAAATTGCAGATGTACAAAGAGAGTGCAGAATATACAGATACATGAATAAGAAAATCCATGGATAAATGCATCAAACTGAAACACAAATGAAAGACAAATTGGAATATGATATCAGAACACCAAAAGCAAGATATTGATCTCAGAACATTAAAAAGATATTCACTTCAAGCAGACAAAGCTCAAAGATATCATATACACTCATCAGGTCTCCACATTTCAGTTTTTTTTGTCACTAATTTTCTTTGACATCCGACGTGCCTTTTTAAATGAAGGTGCATAATGCTAAGGGCACAAAGGGAGCTGGTAAAAGTAATTCAAAACATAATTAGCAAATAAAGTATATAGCGTAACTTTAAACTTAATCTCACCTATTTTTTTAGCAAAAATTAAGATTTATTGATGTAAAAGAAAATGTTATAGAAGTACACCGCAAATACAAAATGAAACTTAAAGCTGTTTTGGGAATAAATTAAAAAATATTACAAAAATAGTCAACTCTTTTCTTTTCGTTTTATATGTTTTCTTCTAAAAAAAAAAAAATCAAAAATTAACTTTTCAAAACAACCCTTATTATGATTAACATTCACAATTCATTTAATTTTCAAATAAAATTTTCAAGCTCTGTAATGTTGCTATAAATGAGAATTAGTATATAGAATTAGATACAAACATGGGGTCATTTTAGGGCAACTTAGAGCTGACTCTCTTATATGTTTCATATGGGATTTTAGGAATCAAAGATTGTAAACTAATCAACTCAACATTTATATGCTGAGAAAGTAAAGCATGCAGTGGTCCTTGAGAACAAAGTAGAAATGAAAAGTGAGAATAAATACTAGTGTAATGGAAGACTAAACCATAGACTTAGGCTAGAGAATCCTTTTTACAATTAACTTAGCATTATTACCTTTATTCTTAAACATAAGCAACCCCAGAGAATAAGAATTTCGACACGCACATTCTCTAGAGTTGAGCTTAATGAGTAAATGGACTAGCTAATGACACAACAAACCAACTTAACATACCATAAGGACTTACTAATTAGGTCCCCCACGGTAGATAATTAATAAATACTTATGATAGTGATTTTAGCAACATAAGTACTAAGAGCATCTCCAACCACACTCTTTATTTTTCACTAACTAAAGTACAAAAAAAGGACACTCCTTATTTTACCTAATTAGTTTACCTATTGTGTGTTCCAATCATACTCTTTATTTAACTAGTCATTCAAACTAACTTAACCAATTTTCAAAACAAAAAATGCTATATATATTACTGTATTTTTCATAGAATGCCACATACGCACCAAACGCTAATATGGTTGCCAATGAGACATTTGCGATAATATTTTTAAAAATAATATTTTTTAATATTAGTTTTAAAAATATTATAAAAAATAATGGAGAAATGACTAAGATTCCCAGTTGGAAGCAAATTAATTAATAAATGGAGATCATTTAAATTTAAACACTCCTCGTTTTGTTGAAAATGATTCAATGATAATTTTAGATAAATAAATGGAGATCATGTAAATTCAATAAAAAATGATTCAATGATAGTTGCAAAAAGGTTAAAACCCAAAGTTGTCGAAACCAACTTCTACTTGGATCAAAACGAAGCTCTTGATGAGATCTACAATCTTTTTCAAAGGAGAAAGGCAAGAAGATGCTTCCAAGGGAGTAGATCTAAAGACTTTTGAGCAAAAAGTGATTTTGGAGAGAGAGAGAGAGAGAGAGACCCACGGTTTAGAGGGAGAAAAGAGAGAAAGAAAATAAAGAAAAGGGTCAAGTGGGGGCTATTTATAACACTAGGTAAAATTAGAAATAAGCCCCAAAGTCAACCCAAAATATCAAGTCAAAACCCCCAAAAAGTAGGGTCAAAAGTCGAACTAAAATATGAAAAAAAAAATCTGCAGGGGTTGACCCCTGCAACAGTGGTGTCGACACCAAAGAGGAAAATCTGGGAAAACTAAGCATGACTGCACTGCTGGTGTCGACCCTACCCTAGACTGGTGTCTACCCTATGTTCCAGCAACCAACACACAGACAGAAGAGGGTCGACCCTCTCCCAGTCTGGTGTCTACCCTATTTTCCAGCAACTCCTCCAAAACTTCACCAACAGGTAAGGGTCGACCCTAGGAAGGCTGGTGTCGACCCTAGAATAAAATTTCTAAGTCTTCAAGAAACTTTTGACAAGAATAAGCGCGAACAACCAAACCCAGCAAGTTTAATTCTGATTAAACTCGTCCAAAACTAACCCATAACAACACCAAAGGTTTCCAAAACATAACAATGATTCAAATACACTTCCTAAAAGTTTTAAAAAGGGTGCAAGTGCTACAACCTCCCCACCTTAGGAAATTTCGTCCCTGAAATTTAAACCAACCATTAAACCAAGGTGTTCTAGCAACAACAATCATTTTAACAACATTTCTAAGTCACCACATCAAGGTTCAACTAATCATAGATTATTTTCTTCCTCACAATTCCATCAAAACACAAACGTTCAAGCTATAAATGAAATGAAACCTCTAGAACATTAATTTATCTTTCCATAACGTCATACTCAAAATGACAATACATACAACAACATGTGATCACAATTTAACATTCTCCCTTTCATCACTGGGGGACATTACAAATTCTAAAACAAAATAACTAGACATGCTCAAATAAATCCGGATACTGGGAGCGGACCTCCGCTTCCCGTTCCCAAGTCGCTTCCTCAACCCCATGGTGTCTCCACAACACCATCACTAACGGTATGGTCTTACCCCGCAACACTTGCTCTCAGGTATCTAAGATTTGAATTGGTCGCTCTTCATAGGAGGCATCATCATCTTCCTCCAAATCAACCCAATCTAACACATGAGAAGGGTCGGGCTCGTACTTCCTAAGCATTGACACATGGAACACATTATGAACTCCTAAGAATTATGGCGGTAAAGCTAACAGATATGCTACTTCCCCAATCCTCTCCAATATCTCGAAGGGCCCAATGAACCTCGGAGACAACTTACCACTCTTACTGAACGTCATCAAAGCTCGCCTAGGTGAGATCTTAAGGAACACATGATCACTTACTTCAAAAGATAAAGGTCGTCTACTCTTATCAGCATAAAATTTTTGTCGGCTTTGGGTCGTAACTAACCTCTTTATGATGAGAGCAACTTTCCCTGTTGTCTCCCTCACGATTTTCGAGCCCAACAAAGGTGCATTGCCCACCTTAGCCCAACAAACTGGTGTCCTACAAGGTCAGCCATACAAGGCCTCAAACGGTGCCAAGGAAAACCTCCCAACTAACCAAGGAAGCACAACACCAACTTCCGGTCACAACCAAAATTGGAATACCACCCCGACTCTTGGAATGCCAAGGATACCAAATTAGTTAAGAGCACAAGAAAAGGGTCACAGACTTCCCCTCGATTCACACCACTAACTGGGTCTATGAGACTAGAACAACAAACAACCACAGCAACCCCACGGTTTAGAGGGAGAAAAGAGAGAAAGAAAATAAAGAAAAGGGTCAAGTGAGGGGCTATTTATAGCACTAGGTAAAATTAGAAATAAGCCCCAAAGTCAACCCAAAATATCAAGTCAAAACCCCCAAAAAGTAGGGTCAAAAGTTGAACTAAAATCTGAAAAAAAAATCTGCAGGGGTCGACCCCTGCAACAATGGTGTTG